ACTCTGTTGGCATCCACCATGTTCGGCCGATTTATGTGTTTCCAAGTGTTCTGAGCAATGATCGTTACACCTGATACCGTATCGCAATGCAGTCTGGTTGGGATTCCGTTGAAGGGCACCGTGATAAATCGGCAGCGTGTTCTAGAATCGCGGAGAAAAGTGGCAATCACCGGCAGTGATTCTGCGTCTGGCTCCCTGAGGTTCTTCCTTCGGTAAGGCTGCTTCACGTTGCTTAACCGGGACTGATGGCAAAGTCTTCCTTGTACCTGCGTTCATGGCGCTTATCACAAATGTCCGCTTGCATGGACACTATCGTGCGAAATGCCTTTCACCACATGACCAACAATGCGTAGGCGGCCTGTTCGGCGCACAGTTGAACGGCCTGTTCGAGCCAGCCTTTCTTGGTTTTTGCACAGCATGAACAGTATCGGCAATGTTGGGGCGACTGTGCTCAATTATGGTGGTGTCGTGTTTCAAAGTAATCTACCGTTTGTATTCGCCTACAAGAGAATTCACTGTCAAATCTGGATCTTGATCCAACTTAGCAAGGAGCCGAGTGCGGATTTCCGCGTCACATGGAGACATTAAAGCACTGACAAAGATGAGACACTTAAACTGGGCATACGTCAAAAAGCGTAACTTGAAACTTTCATATTCACGCTTAACCTTGTTTGCTAGTGCCCCATAATCGTCCGTATTCCGCCTAACAATTTTTAGACATTGGTAGCGAATGCTAAACAAAAACGTTGACTCACCAAAAATTTCTTTGCTTGTTACCACTGCACACTAGCCGGCTGGTAGCTTACCGGAACGCCCATCTGTTACCAGTAGCTCAGCTGGCTTGCACCTGTTGCATTTTTCTTCTGTGTATTGCGGCACAGTGGCTGAGGTGTATTCTACTTCTAGCTAACGTGTATAATGATGATAATGATGCTTACTGATCTTCGCGAAAACTGAACCATTTGATCATATCAACCACACATTTACTCATCGTTAAGCGTTAGAGCAGACACAGACGACCGATTATTTTGTTTTTCTTTGACTTCAAACCGGCCTTCTACTATTGCTGGCGCCAGCGCGTGACATAGTCTGTCCGCTAGGGGATTGCCCGGGAAATTTCTTTCCATTCTGAAGTCTCTACCGTATCTCCTTAGGCCAGATAAGGCTTAGCGAGAAGCGGACTTTTGAGTTCGATACGACAAATGGGGTACACCAGCGTTGTCCTAAACCTCCTTTCCTCTTCAGCTTTATGATCCGAATGATCATAAATGACTCCGTCCTTTCAGTTTCTTCTGGAGTGGACTTTTCTGCCAGGGAACCCGACAGTGAAACTTGGAGTATGCAGACGATGTAGCTCTTCCTGGGTCTGGCGCATTGGCTATGCATGCACTCCTGGATAAACTTGTGCGTAGTGCTGCACGTTTCGGCATATGCTTTACACCTTCAAATTGCAAACTATTGCTTCATCATCATACACGTTAACTGGAGATGGGGAACACCTCAGCTACTGTGCCGCAATACACAGAAAAAAGCAAAAAGAAATGCAACTGGTGCAAGCCGGCTGTGCTACCGGTAACGGCTATCACCCAATAGCCATTTGAATTGATAGACCAGTTCACATAGCTTCGTAACTGTGTCCCCTCTTGTGGGTGCACCACTGAGGAAGTTACTTCTCGTAACAACGGCATTTCAGAGGCTCAATCATCTATGGAGACGCGGGCTATCAGCCTCTTCGTGAACGCTAGGGTGTAAAACGCTACGATTAGACCGCAGTTACTGTATGGAACATAGACCTGGCCAGTTAGCAGTGTTTGGTCACAGGTGCTTGCGTAGTATTGCACACATCCAGTGTGAACAAAGGGTGAGTCATGCTGAGGTACACCAGTTAGTTTCTAACAAAAAGCCTTTTGTTACCTCACTCCGAGTGTTTGCTGGAGCTCAACGGCTTGTTTTGGCTATGTTATGTCCTCCGTATGCCCGTTGCTCAGCTTCCTCGGCGTGCATTATATGCCGCGATGTGGTCAGTCAATGATGTCACATAAAGACATGAAAAAATTGACTGCGAGACTTGGTCAAGCTAATGCGTGCCGTGTTCGTGGTTGAGGGCCTCGGTTGGTCCACACCAATGGTTGGGGACTAACAGACATGATGCAGTCATTGGCGTTCTTTCACCAGGTTGCTTGCATCTAGCTGTTAATTTCATTCCATCCTGATTAGCTTAGTGTATTCCTTTCTTGATTCGTTTTTCTTTGTATTCTGTTTGCATTTAACCTTTTTCTTTCCGTCGTCTTTCCTCACTTTGTCGACGCGTTTTGTGTCAACTGGATCGATGGCAGTTCGGTGCTCGGCTCATGGTAAATTCAACGGATCACGTGACTTTTACGTCGGGCATTTCGCTCTTATCCAGCGGGATAATTGAATACGCAATACTGAACTCATCTCGCTTTTGTTACGTAATAAACTTGGTAGACTCTAACCATCGAAGTTGACTAGGCTGCGTTCTTCGAGCTCCCCTTGATCCGCTGCGGCGTGTTCTGTTTTCAAACTCTTAAATCATAAAGCTTCAAGAGGCCAGCTGATGAGAATACGTAAAAATTAGCAGAACGGTTTGGCCAAATGTCTTTTCCCTCGGGATGCGTTCTTCAATTCGACTACGTCAGTGCTTACGGACCCCGCCACAGCGCATTTACAACAGCGCTTTTGCTTTCTGCCTACCTCTTCTGCCTTTTGACTTCCCCATGTACCAGTTGTGCAGTTTCATTTTTGTACTTTTGGCTGCGTGCTTGCTCTTCTCTTCGCTTCACCTCTCTGACTGCGATCATCGCACATTTGCAACTGGCCTTTGGCTGACCAAATGGTTTGCACTACATGTAGTTCTTTGTTTATAGCAGTATACCGCTCATTTCCGCATGACATCCCAAGTTTGTTTTCTCATCAAAGCCACCTGTCTTCATCGTTCTGTATCGCGTCGAATTTCGCCAGTTTGCTCGCACGTTCATATTGAACCCGGTCTACGTATTTTCTACTATCTGCCCACCCACTCCGGAATCCAATGAACCCGTGTTATGCACCGTACATAACACACAAACTTCAGTTCACCGTGTTGAGTATCATGGGGTCCATTTAGTTGGTACTTATTACGCGCATTGCGCGTCAAGTCGGGCTGCTATGCCAGGGACTAATTATGAACCTCAGTGGTTCGTCTCAGCGGCTCGCAAGCTAGCTAGTGTAATTCCAAATCCGGAAAAGTACCACACGATCGTTTCACCCTATTAGGGCCCGTAAGCGGTGCGCATTCCCTTCGGTCCATTACAGAGAGCCGAACCCATGACCGCCAACATCTTATGCCATTGAGCCATGAGCAATGGCGGCAAACTGTCACAGCTTATGGACTAACGGGGATATAGCACAGCCTCTCCTATACTGCCTTGCAGGTTACTGTTATTGCAGAGGACACTGGCTGACTTCCAGAAGTCACTACTTCCACTACATAGCAGCTATGTGGGCATAGCATTTAAAGACTGAGGGTGCATTTTTGTTTATTAATGAGCTGGAGGATTTTGATGAAATTTACTGGTTCTTTCTAGCAACTTTGTGACAAAAGCTGCTGGATAGTTCGCACAAGCTGTTAGCAGTCGGGTTTAGTTCCGTGCAATGGACCGAGGAATGTGCACTACTGACTAGCCCCAATAAGGCAAAACAATCGTCTGATGCTTTTCCACATTGGAGGTTAGACTGTTTAGCTTGTGCGTTGCGCGAACACACCAGTAACATTTCATCGAAACTTTCCTACTCGATAGTAGTCATCGCTTTACCGGCCGTCTTGGATGTTATTCTTTTTGCTTTGTTACTGTTGTTCTTGTCATTTTTATTAAAGCAACATTGCTTAGTGTAGCTTTATCCGCTGCACTCTGATACGCAGCTTAGTACTTACAAACTGAACACACGCCTAAAAGTTTCAGCTTAGCATGGTGTAGACGCACTGTATTGTATTCGCATTACTCCTGGTCTCCTTTCACATTTCAGTACGCGGATTGGGAAGTTCTCGAATGCAGCTTCACTTATGTTGCGGTGGATTTGTTCAGAACTATTCTTTCTATCCATCACACTGCCCTCTATTTGTTTGCTGTGAGCGTCGATAAGTTATGCACTTCCAAAAACCCCTCAGTACGTCGTGACCGTTCCAGCGCTTCGCTGTCACACAACCACCAGCGGTTGAATGTTGGCGAGATTACTGCCGGGTCGCCTGCACCTACACAGGTTCGAACTGGTGACAGGCGAATTATAAGCCGAACATCCGGACCACTCCATCAGGCGTCATTGAAAAGACTTCACCAAAAATGTCCGATTGCTTTCAGTCACTGAATTAACATCGCCATTGACGTTCGTAGTCTTTCTGGTGACGCGCGCGACTCCCATCACTGCGCTTTGGTAACCGGATTATAATATTTGTCCGAACTAACACCTTAATGCTATGTAGGAAATATGGAGCTGGGTTGCATGGAGGGAATTACTGCTTTGTTCACTTTCTCAGTGATGTTACAAAATGAAGATACCAGTGACACTCTTGAAAATTTCGATCGCGCGTAAGCAAAAGGACATCATCAGTACGCCGTTATGCAGCACTGGCACAACCAACACCAGTCGCACGTGGGCTAAGATTACTACGACGGTCGCCCTTTCCCTACGCAAACTCCAACCCGCGCTCTTGGATTACTAGGCAGACTTGTGAGCCTTAAGTCTACGAGCCGGCCTACTGCGCGTAAAAACATTGTGGTTACTTTGGCCTGCATTTTCTGTCACAACAACCTCTTGTATTTTCATGCATTTGAAATTTCGAGCCTAGTAGTTTGTATGCAACTACACTTATAAGGCCCTTTAATTCACCTTGATAGTACATGCCTCTCATTTCATCTTCGCCTTTGCTGTGGAATTTCAATCCTTGTCTGACTCGGTCGACTATATTCCCTCACCTTTTGTATGATTTCTTTGTCCTGCAGTCGAATTGTCCTTCCCATGACGGTGGAAGAATACCAGGTTGCGCAACTTTATGCTGTCGCTGAAGCGTCGAAACAGGAAACAGGGGGTGGAGATGGTGTAGAGATTCTTGTGAATGAGCCGTTCAGCACCAGTATTTATTGCCCAAATCCGCCGTTGCTAAACGGGGATCCACAATATACTACTGGTCAATATACATACAAATGTTATCATTTGGCTCAAAAGATGCCAAGTATCGTCCGGGCTTTGGCTCCCTCTTCTGCGCTCACGCTGAATGAGGTAGCGTGGAACGCTTATCCCTATTGCAGAACTGTGCTTACGGTGCGCACTTTGCTGCGATTCAGTTTAATTTCTTCTGCTTTCAGAACAGTTTTCTCGGCGATTCATTCTCCGTCAAAATCGAATCACTTCATTCCTCTGACATAACATTGCAAAACGTAAGTTTTCTGGACCTTTTCTTTCCCTCTTTTCTCTGTGTCGTTCCTTAAGCAAGCGTAATGTATGGGCGGACGCACTGCATTGAAAAACTACACGATTCACTGTTGGATTGCTCTCACATCAGTTATTCCACCTCTTACTATCTCACTTCTACTTCGCTGGAACCTGAACTACAATGCTTATGCAGTCGTTGACTGGCTAGCCGAACAACCTCCTCGTGGTGCCAGCTGGGTGGTTCGGGTTTAATCCGTTCCAGCTAATAGTTCGGCGGCAGTGTTCCAGGACGTGATGAGTTTTCGTCTGGCAAGCGTTCTCCCTATAAAAAACCACTACTGTCTGCTTAACAACACTGTGACGTGGCGGTCGTGGCTCGCCACAAAATAAAGTCAGTGCCCCGTGGATGTCTGGATAATCCTTTCCAACCCACGGACACCAGTCTTCTACTCGCACATTGCTGACGATAGCAATCATTCAAGAATGGAGCAGCACAGTTACAAGCGCAAACTACACAGCTACATAAACGCACACACAATTACATGCTTACATACCCCCTGCACAAACAAGCACTGTTATGGCAAACAAATCAGATTTTTTCACATTCTTGATCACGCATTGTTTTGTCAAAATGATCATGCCTGTAAAGGCGTGCCTCGCCTTGTCGAGAATAAAACTTTACTAGCCTTACGTTGTCTGATTTCGAAATGTACAGGCGGCCAATGCCTCACGAACTGACTGTTCGTGATTATCTCTTCTATTTTGTAGATAGTACCAAAATACTTCAACCCCGTTAGTCTTATAATTTCGGAGATTTAGGTCACAGTTTAAGTGACCTCTTACGACGTCGAGACGAATTAGCTGATTGCTTTTTGCCATTCGGCAACAGTGATATTGACTTCGTATAACCGGTCAGCTTTTGACCTAAGTCGTGTTGCTTGCGGTAGCTCGATTTGATTATTCTTTTACTTTCTTTTTTGTATAGGCTCATCAGCTGTCTGAAGAAGTATTGGCAGAGCGTGACGTCATCATTATTGACATCGGCAACATTACTCCTGCTGACAAGGATTACAGACCCGATGAGGATCCAACTACCTTTCAGTCACAGAAAACTGGCCGTGGACCGTTGAAGCCAAACTGGTGGCTTGTAGGCACATCCTTTTATTTCTCTGACCATGATGATAATTTTCATATTTTCCCTCTTAAACAGTGTTTTGTCTCATCTGGGCAAATGGACAGTATGCTGGGTTGATCTAATTGCGCTCACTCACAGCTTCATGTTAGTTGTAGTTGGCGACGTGGGCTAAACGATGCAAATGGACGAACAATCGATTGGAAGAGGTCGAGAAGAAAAGTTGGTCTGTCCGTTAGATGAAAAAATTAGGAGTTGAAAACTAGAGACTTACTGAAGGTGTCCCATTGAGTTCACAACTGCAGCGCTGTCCTGTCTATCCAGATTTACCACTAAGAATGCGCTTCTCTGTCTCTAGTACATCTTCTAATTTGCAAGTGAAGAAGGGCGGCCACTAGTTTCTTCGCTGTCATGGCGCACGTCCACTAAGCTGGTTGTATTACTCATTTTTTTAAACTGCTGTATCCTTAGTATTCAGTAGCCGTTGTATATCCACAGAACCAATGTAAGACGTCCTAGGGGTAATGATCATTGCAATCATTTAAACCTGCCGCGAATGACGCTGAGCCACATAAAGCCAATAATGGACATAGGATACCCAAGTCATCGACACATTCGTGAACATTCGCCTGAGCTGCATATGGGGTGTAAAATCACGCTCTACATGGTCCCTATGATGACTTCTCCTCCATTTACTGCTTTAGCTTCCTGGTGGATGCATTGAAGAAAGTGCTGACTTCACTCTGGTAGTCATCCTTGTTTCCTGGCACTCAGGAACTTGTGGTCTCATTTGTTTTTTCCACCAGACTCTCTGGAGAACATCACATACCCTGTTTCCTCTGTCTTTCGGCGTTATATTTCATCCGCTAACGACGTTGTCCCATTGCCATCAATGAGAAAGGTCTTTCTTCTTATCTTCTCGTCTTTTCAAGCATATGTGCCTAATCAAAATCTAGGTTTTGCGCCTGTCACTCTATATCACTAACGCATAAACACTACCAATTTAATTCCTATCCAAACTTCACCTTTGTGGTCACAGCCTCTTGATAGCTTCGTGCTTCTGTCCTGAACGCCTCTTCTTCCTTTTGTCAACTCTTCTGTTACACAGGTTGTTGGCATGCATCGCTTATCATCAAATTCGCCCCCCCCCTTCGAAATAATACAGCATATTCGCTGGGGCATTACTATTTCAGTCATTTACAGTTTAGACCAACATGTCTTACGTACGAACTCACCCTAATTCCTCCACATTTCAACCTGATCTCATCTGTTTTCACTAGTGTCATTTCCGTACTCATTTCTGCATCTACCACTCCAGCTTAATAACAATTGTACAAAGTCACAACGCTTGTACTCTTCCCCAGCTTAAGTTTAATCTGATAAGTACATTGGTTATATTTTGAACGCATCTGAAAATTGACACAAGGGACATGCCATAACTTTCCACTGTTGCAACCAGTCCTGCTTATGGCTAGCCTCTAGTAAACTGTGTCCGCATTACCCCATGACCTCAACACATGCAGTGATGTTAGCGCTTGTCATAACCTCAAATGTGTTGCTTGGTTATTCAATCACACTTACTAATCAATACCGGGTGCCCTGATCTCTTTTCTCCTTTCTAGTATTTTCATCTTCGGTAGGTTTCCACTTACTGTTCTTCTCCCGACGGACACATCTATTATCGTCCACTTGTGCTGGCCTGTTGTAGGACAACTATAAAGGACCCATCATGTGTGCCTACAAGTTGGTCACTTGTGAATGCAAAATCAGGCTGCTCCAAGGAAGACTTGAAGCCATGTTGCAATCCGTGAGTTGTTATTATTCGTTTTGTTCTTTTCCTCATCATGTGCATCTGCTACACATTTTTCGTGGATGATAGTTCCCAACACCTGAAACATTCTATTCTTCTCTGTCTACGACAATCTAAGCAGCTATCACGAACAATCTGTAGACCGTCGGTAGTCTAGTCTTTTTCCTTACGTCACTGTGGAAATGTGATGATACGTCTTACCACACAAAAAAACGTGGATTTGCGCACTTGTATCAGTTCCACTTCCTCACATTGGTTGAATCGTTTTTTTCAAGCCTTTCATATCGTAACGTCTCGCATTGGGTATCTAATCTTTATGTTTACTGTATATTTGTGTGATGCAGTTTGTCTCAAAGTTTCCTATATACGTGTGTGCTCATCCTCCAGTGGTCTCCCTCACCATTAAAGCTTGCTTCCCTCTGTTCTTTCTCATGCACACATAAGAACGAACAGGATTTCGCACTTAATTGGGTTCATCGCTATGCAGACCTAGTTCTCGTTGGGTGCAGTGGGCTCTTCTGCATGCTATTTACACATTTGGGGCCTCCATTTTAGGCTACAAGGCAAAGAACCTTCCTCTCTCTCCCAGCTGATTCATCTAGCTAGCCTTGTAGACTGTTGTCTGAATTCGTGACCACATTATATTACCATTAGCTGCCAGAAGCTGCTTTATTCTATTCTGAGCTGCATGTGTTGCCCTATTGGGTATAGCCTTGATCTACTCTTATGCGTTAGTTTGTCATCAAGTCATTTGTCTGTGCTTTTGTTTACTACTCATGAGCCTCCAGCTGCGGTGTATCGCTTCTTGCTTTTGTTTCCTTACTCGACTCATATCATTTTCTATTAAGCAAGAGCAGAGGCTATTTGCCAACTTTCATCGGCAAGTGTTCTGTTGGATGGACCGTTGGTATGGCCTAACTATGGCAGACATTCGTCGTTTGGAGGAAGAAACTAAGCTGGAGCTTGAGATGGTACGTGGTCGTTCGTGTTTTCACATGATTGCTTAGCATCACTGTGTGTGTTTCAGCCCACTTCCTTACCACATATCCGTGAGGTTTGTATTTTGCAATAGTATTTCCCAATCGGTTAAGTCTTTTTTCCTTCCTATCGTCTGCTTTTATGTTCCTTGCGCGCTGTGTTTGGAGCTTTGTTTCAACCCCCTTTGCTCCGATTTGGAACCTTTTGGACTGCTTTTCTTCCCATAAGCCTGTATAGCGCCTAACCCTTGTTAACTTTGTTTCAGAGTGTGGCTTCCCTCGAATTTTCGGCACTGGACGATGTTTCGACTTCAGCACAAATAAACTAATTTCCGTTGCTCACTTTATGATATAGCGAATCACCAAGTCGTGCATTACTTTCGTTTGATGTCAGTCCCCCTCGAAGTTAGTCTTACGGTTTCGGATGCTTCGTGAATTTTGGAACTCGGTTGCCTCGCTATAGTTACAATCAATACTGTAACTAATCCACCTTGACAACTGGGTTCATGTTTACATTGTGCTTCCCCAACCGTCCTCCACAAAACGAGAAAAGTGATGTGTGCAAATGAGACACAGAAAGTTCCATTTCTTCAGCAGTCGTACAGGGTAGACGTCGTCCGTTTCCTGATTTACCTGTGGCTCTGACTACGAGCAGTCGCAGAACGTCTACAGATCCGTCACAGATGAGCCTACGTCTTTTCATGGTACGATGATTTGCGTGCCTCATTTCTCCGTTGAGTTGTGCCGGATGATGCTTTTTGCACCTTCAGAGCCGCATACGAGATTCGTCAGTTCCCTGGTCCTGCAGTTCGGACGTTGCAAGGAGAGCAGCTTCTTGTTCCTTTAAGCAGACGTCCTGTACCCTACTGCCAGAATCCCGTTGCTTCTGATCCCATAATTCTTGATCCCCTCACCTTATTTTGATAGCTGTGTCTTCTAGTTTTGACTCACAGTCGCGGAGCGTCTCTTCTGTCCTATCGACAAGTCCATGTTTAACCAAACTGACAACCTCATTTCATCTACATCTATTTGGGACCCTCGATCCTTGCTATGATTAGTATGCCTCAAATTCCTCACCTTGTCAACAGACAACACTAGCACGGTCACTAGAGACCCTGGCGATCGATGTCTGCTGCTTATCGGTTACCCACCTGCAACACTAGAGCTGTGTGCTCACTCTGCACTCCGACACAATACCCACAGAAACGTGACATGGCGCCCACCAGCCATGGACACAATCGATCACTTTGTGATCAGTTACCACTAGAAAGGTTGCGTTGAAAGCTACCTTACAATTGGGAGCACAGACGTAAATTCTGACCATGCACTTGCATATGCTGATGTGTGAATGCGTTTAGGCGGACACCCGCGGGGATACTTTGAACGCATAAACATCAACCAATTGGCAACTCAGATGTTCTGAATGTGTATCCAAGTACGCCGGCAATGAAGTTGACTAAGTTCTCTTTGTACATGGTTGAACATCATTAGTCGCACGTTCGCATTGCATGTAATTGTACAAGCCTGATGAAGAATTGCCGAAAACATATGTTCGCTTACACAGACTTCTGATCGATCAATGGATTTTTTCCATTCAATTTATTAAAAGTAGTTACGTCTTTATGTGATACTTCTGATTCCTCTGCTAGCTATGAGTATATGCATTCTCTGGAACCTATTTGTGCTCATTGACACACTCAGTTAGGACGGAGCACAACCGGACTTGCAAGAAACTCTGGACAAACTGCGTGCTAGTTTGGAGAGAGACGACGTCAGAGATGGTAACAGCCGCTACCCTTGGTAACCATCGAAACTTATTCCGTCTGATGCGCGATACGGGCAGCAGGAGATCTATACCATTTCCCGGTCAAGTTGTCCTCTTGAGCAACAGAAATAATCTGAGGGGGCATTCAACATGAGTCTACTCATATTTCAGTGGTCAGGCAAGGTGTCAACTCGTCCTGTTGCTCTATCATCGCCTAACACTAATTACGTGCATGTGCTCCCCGGTCGCCATATGGAATCCTCATGCGTTGGTGCGACAAAACTGTCCACGACCAAGTGGACGAGGCAAGTTACCGACTTTGGTATCCGATGACAACAACCGGCGTTATGCACGGGAGACACTGATAAGTGTCGCGAAATCCTGTGCTATGTTACAAGGGTAGTGTGTGACTGACGTAACACGGAAACAGCAAATTCCTCATCCTTGCTACTTGGGGATCGTGCTACTGTGCCATCGCGTTGTAACGAGATGACGCATCCAAAAACGCAGACATCTCCAAGTAGCAAGGATGAGGAATTTGCTGTTTCCGTGTTACGTCAGTCACACTACCCTTGTAACATAGCACAGGATTTCGCGACACTTATCAGTGTCTCCCGTGCATAACGCCGGTTGTTGCCATCGGATACCAAAGTCGGTAACTTGCCTCGTCCACTTGGTCGTGGACAGTTTTGTCGCACCAACGCATGCGGATTCCATATGGCGACCGGGGAGCACATGCACGGCCGAATTGATGTAGTTAGTGTTAGGCGATGATAGAGCAATAGGACGAGTTGACACCTTACCTGACCACTGAAATATGAGTAGACTCATGTTGAATGCCCCCTCAGATTATTTCTGTTGCCCAAGAAGACAACTTGGCCGGGAAAAGGTATAGTGTTAACGAGACTGTATGCAACGAGAGTAGACAAGCTGTCCACAACCTGCAAAAATGCTTGGAACGCTTCACTGAAAATCTTGGATATCGATTTAATCTGTCGAAGTAACAAATTTGTTGCCGACCATTGATCGCCTTTCCCCCGGAGTTATCCCCTTCGATCGAACGTGACACCAGACCAGATGAGTTTCCCCCTACCTTCTTAAAATTCGGGGAATTAGCTCTTGTAGACAATTCTGATGATATACTGATACTTTGGGAGTAAGTAACTGCCCCGACCGACCGCAGCTGCCCCGATATAGTTCCGATTCTCAAGGAAAGCTAACATCCTGAATTCGGCATTTATCTAATTCCCTATTTGATCCCCATTGCCCCCAGCTCGCTTGCTTATGTCGCTTTTCCCGGGTAGATTAACGTCCGCAGATTTGTGAAGCGTAAGCCGGGTTTCATCAGAATCTTCACGTAACATCAACTCTTGGAGCACCGCCACTTATGTCGGCGATCCACATTACTCATTTTCCTCAACGTCAAAGGTGCGTTGTATTCGCTGCATCGATGTACCCGTTGGGATTGATTTGATCAGCAATAACGTATTCGTAGTTTGGACTCCCTTCTATATCTGCAGCGGTCTGAGACAAGGATCTCTACTGTCACCTTTCCGATTTAACTTCGCCATTGACGAAACCATGGAAACTGTGAACAGTGGACACGGCTTAAGTCAACATCTTGACTTGGAGTACATCTACGATATTGCACTAATCTGTGACAGCTCACAGACGTACCAAACAGCACCGGGCAGATTGGTCCTAGCTGTTAGCTACTTTAAGATGTGCTTTGTATCCTCCAGTCCGTAGCCTAAGGCATCACGTTTGTTTTATAATCCGAAGACGCAACTCCGTGCCTGCGTAGGGGACTGGGCGACCCTCGCATTATCCATAGCTCGCGTACGACTGTTGATGGTTGTGCAGCAGCGTGACATCGGTACTACATACCGGCGTACTGTTGTTATCTCTTGCACCTTCTATCTGCTAACCTTGCCTCTGAGATTGGCCGGGATCGCTTCCTGCGCCTACCCTTGGTGATGATAAATTATGAGTCGTTCATTATCTAACCATCACTGGTGCAGTACGCCTACCCGGTTGGGGACCCGGGGATGAAGTATGTCAGTGGCCCACAACACTCGAATTGGTGGCGTCAAACCAAATGCACTCAAGTTTGCGTGAACTCCTGTTTCTCCGTCTCTTTTGTGCCGTATGGTCGAAGTCGGTAGTGTCTATTTTTTGCATCTCTGAAACCCTGTGTCCACTTTAATCACGTAACCAACACAAAGAAGACGTAGGTTGCGATGTGTAGATCTTTGTTTGCTCTTTTCAGTCGCGTGAAGACGTGCGTAGCTAACTATGGGGTGACTAGTGAATATAGCGCAATCGGGGCCATGGCGATCTTACCGATTGCGTCCGTTGTTTCTGTGCGCACAACACCGGGCGATTCGCATTTTGATAAAGAATTCCATGTTGATCAACCGATTCCGATTTCAACTATGTGCTAATACCTTGAACGAATTCACCGGATCGACTTGGTGGCGGATCGTCACAAGGTACTTTTTGGTGGACAAGGCAAGACTCCTGTTCACATCTGGATTCTTCAGGAATTGAGCTTTTGCCTGGCGATTAACTGTCAAACGTATACTACTCAGGTGACAATCTTTTATTCGATCGAACCCAACTATTGTGCAAGTGATATCAAACTTACTGACTCGGCATAACGCCCTTTGTTTTGTTCTTTTCCGCTTCCAGCTGGCCGGTGACCGATTGGTTTAGGGTGTCTACCCTGTGATCATAATCCGTTCGCACTTACTTACATACGGACGATCTGACAGCATTCGTAGCCCGTGCGCGACTGGTTGTTGTCGCGTGGCGGCGGAGCTTCCATACGACGTACTACTCCTCTCAACTACAAAATACATGCCACCGCAATTTATACTACCACTTAACAGCTTGGTGGTGGTTGGTTGGTGCAATTGTCTTGGTGTGTTAATGTTCTGAGGTTGTAGGTCTGGGAGCGATTTCAACGGATGCACACCAGAAACACGAATCACGGGTAACGAGTCCCGCGATCCATCCAGTCTTAACAGGGAACGCCTAATCGAGAGTAAATGTGTGGAGAACAAAGCCTGGTCGGAATACTACGATCTTCAAGGATGCGTGCGAACATCGAGTAACCCCAACTCAGCTCACTAGATGAACGCGCTTCCTGTTAATTAAACCTCTACTCGGATCGCACTGGTTTGAGGGCAAAAAGAAACAGTGCTATGGTCCCCTCGAGTAATTCGTTAAAGTTTCTGACTCACTGCAAGCTGCTCTGCCAATTCTGATGGTCAGACCACCAATGTTATCTCGTACGTCAACAAGGGTGACATGGTTTTTCTGGATTTACTTTTCTCATGATGGTTTTGTGATCGGTTTAACCCGCATTCGAGAACAGCAGGCGTAAGGCTGTTTTTTTTAACTACCCTTATCTATTGTTATGCTTTGTGTACGTTGTCGTATTTGTCGTCTTCAAATAACCGTATCTGATAGTGTGCATATTTGTTGCTTGTGTTGACAGTGGGATGTGATACCGTTTACGTGTTGGCAATTTTTTAAGTGTCCCAGTGGACCGCTGGTTGGTACGTAGCCTTAATGATCACAAGCCTGCCTTGCGATCCGAGGTCGCATGCTCGAGCCTGAATAGAGACCGGGCGACTATCGCAGTATGCTTTGCGCGGTTTCGAAGCGTCAGTATGCTTACTGGCGTACTGCTGATGCCTTAACTTGACCACTGTATGTATTATCAGTAGTCTAGCAACTAAACACAGAGCCAATAGAATACCATGGAGATCCACGGATAAGAGACAGTCATTGCATCATAATCATCGTGGCATACTAGTTGAAGGTGAGCGACACACTTCAGCTAATATGCCGCAGAAAGAAAGGAACATTTTGATAAAAAGTAGAACAAAGCATTTTTAGTATATTTTTCACACGCCGATTTTGCTCTTTTTTACCATTTTCAATATTTCAATTATTAAACATGTGAATCAATGCAATACTGTACACAATTCTTCCACTGATTCCGGTTGCGGGCCATGTCTTCAAGAGTGCTAATCCATTGGCACTCCTCATCTTTAGGTCCCCATCCTGGAAGACGTAAGGATCCAGCAGCGGCTAGACACGACGTCAGCGACTTCATGTGCTGTTGCCATGTGGGAGGTTGACCACCACGTGGTCGCCTTCAGCCACCTCCTTGACGAGCAAATAGAGCGCGACGCGGTAGACGCTCAGGCGCCATGCGTAGAACTGGCGCAACAAAACCAGTTTGTTGAAGGGAATACTCGCATTCCCCAAGATGCGACGTCGAACGTCATTACTATTAACTCGACGTTGCCACCAAACACGAGCACTTTTCCTTAAGCAACCGTTATCGAAGGCAGTAAGACGACGCATGTCTTCCACGCGAATGGGCCAGCACTTGCTCCCATACAACAACACTGAGCGAACTGATGCGCTGTAAACGCGGCCTTTTTGCAAGAATAAGACGTCGCGACGACGCCACAAGTGCCTCAGATTGACAAATGCTGATTGAGCTTTAGTTATGCGAAGAGAAACTTTGTTGTTAGTGCCGTCAGCTTCCAAGGTAGACGAAACTATTTACCTATTCAAGTTGTGCACCTTCGAGAGTGAATACGGGGGCAGGTGAAAGCCAATCCTTGAGCAGTACTTTACACTTCGATGGGACATAGCTCATGCCATACTTAGATACCTCAACAGCCAACCGAGGAATAATGAGTTACATATCCTGAGGATTGTCACCAGTTAAGGCGATATCATCAGGATAGTCTAAGTCGGTCGCGCGCTCACCCGGTAGAAGCTCGATGCCAAAATGTTGGAAACCTTCTAGAACATTCGATTGCGAAATCGAAAAGGAATGGGGATATAGGGCATCTCTTCGCACACCGTTATTGACAGTGAATTGCGAGGAAAGCTTGCCATAAACCCTCACTCTGCAGGATGTATGAAGCTAAAGTGCTCGTAAGATGGCGATATATTGCTCTTGCACCCCGTTCTTTAGCAAGCAACGCCATAAAGCAGGTCGATTAACGGAGTCAAAAGCGGCACGTATGTCTAGGAATGCAACGATATTGGGCCTGTGATAAATGTGGCGATGTTCGAGGAGCTACGGAGCGTGAAGCTTTGATCCACGCATCCGCGGCCAGGACGGAAACCAGGTTGTTCTTCATGGTAGTATGGCTCACGTACTGGGGATGGTCTGCGAAGCAGTATTGATGCCAATAGCTTGGAGGCAACCAAAATAAGACTGATCCCGCGATGATTTACACATGAAGTGCGAGCGCCTTTCTTGAAAATCGGGACAATTACTGATTCGCCCCAAGAGGAAGGCACTTTCTCTTCTTGCCAGACTTTTGCGAACAGCACGGTCAGCTGGTTACTGATCGCCACACCGCCGTACTTGACAAGCTCTGGAGGGAGTCCTTCTGAGCCGGCAGCCTTGAACCGCTTCAAGCGTCGAATCTCGAGGCAGACCTCCGCTTTGCTGGGTGGATTCAGTGGGAAGAGCCAGAATGGGCAACAAGGTGTACTGCATGTACTGATGGATGGTGGGGGCCAGTTGAACTGCGAGTGAAAGTGCTCGGCCCAGCGGTCCAAACGCCTCTGTTGGTTGGTTATCGGGGACTCATCCAACTCGCAAATGACCTCATTGACACCAGGCTTCCTGAAGTCAGTAGACCGAATGAGTTGGAAAAGGTTGCTAGTGTTGCCAGAGAGGGCAGCGGTCTCTCTCTGAAGCACAGTCAAACCGCCATGTCTCGCGATCCTTGCGTAGGCTTTGCTTGAGCAGCCGGTTGGCAGAACGGCGCCGCTCCTTGCAATCTGATTCCGCCGGAATATCTGTGGTGTTCGAACAGCTCCGGAGAATTAGCAGAGATCCAAGCCTTTAGGGGGCATCGAGTTACGCCGCAGCTTGACTGTGCGGAAATGGTCCCCGCTTTCCGTATACAAGTCCAGTGTTGCTCCACGTCTTGCGGTGGATTGCAACTGAGTTCGTATGCCAGTGAGGACTGGTAACTCGTCTAGACAGAGGTCAGTTAATCTGTTTACCTCAATCTTGCGGTGCTTCGTGTTTCGGGACCCTCCAAAACACCTACAGATTTTCGCGCAGATCAATGCATGAGCTGAGTCAACGAAGATGGACCAAAAGGACCTACAGTCCAGTACGTTGCTGCGTCATCTGAAGCTAATTGCAATGCGATCATTTTGAAATCACGGTTATGTTGGCGAATAGGGACGCCACGTTTTGGAACGCTTCGTACGACTGAGGTTAGTGCTCGAGAGAAACAGATGGTTATCTTCGCACAATGTGAGAAGCCACTCTCCGTTATCCAAGCGGTTCTCACTAAGCGCGTGATGACCACCAAGATGGCGTTCGTATGGTAACAGGTGGCCAACCCGTGCATTAAAATCCCTAGCAAGGACAACGACATCCGACTTTTTAGCATTGGTCAAGTGCCGCTGTAGATCCTGGTAGAATTTGTCACTGACCAAGTCGCCACTGCAGCCAGTTGGGGCGTACACGGAGATCACAAACAAGTTGCGTCTCTCTTCGCTGTGCTTGTTGATTCTACATGAACCCCGAAGCCGAACTGCACATAATCGGCTGTTAATCGGGAACCATTCCAATAGTGCCGCTTCGGCCTTGCCAAACCAGCTGAGGCTGATTCTGTTTTTCCAGAAGGACGCAGGCGATATCTGGCTTCATCGTCAGTGTGGGACGTCAATGTAAGTACAGCGCTGGGATCTTGCAACCGGGTTTATGAAAGGCAGCAGACATCAATGTCTAGGGACTCTAGGATACGCGCTAGACCGGCTTGCTGTCTAATCTGCATGAAGCACGTCAGACGGAACGAGGATCTGGGACGAAGGAGAACCAAAGGTTGAACTCTTTGGTCTGCGGTGCAACCGGAATCTCAGCTAGATTGTTGAACACATGAATTGGATAACGGAAAGTGAGGGTTGTTAGCAAACAAACAATTGACGTGTGATGAAGTCGCGTGAATGTGGGAAGCGAAAACTGTAGCTGATGGGCACGTTGTAGTACAATCCATGGTTTTGTGAGAGGGCATGATACTACCCGGTTGCCCAAGCCTAAGTAGGGAGTTGACTTAGGGGACTCCATCCCGAGACTTTGGCTAAATAACCTACCCGCAAGGCAGCGGGACAAATTTAGGGCATCGCGTCCATTGGGCGGCACTGACTGAATGTTCAGTCCATGCGTCTTTGTTTGGTAGATCACCAAACAGGGGCTCAATACTCCCCATGAAATCAGCACAATTGCTGGAATACAATGCCCCACTGAGGTGGAACGTTGTCACCGAACACTTCGATGGAACGGAGTACACTCCAACCACCCAGCTGGCACCACGAGGAGGTAGTTCGACAAGCCACTGCTTAAGCATGAACTGTCCATTTTGACTTGGTCACACTTCATTTATCTTCGCGAGCAATGTGTGCTGCCACGGCTTCTGGTATGGTGATGGCTTGAAGTGTTACAAGGCAATGCATCGGCTGCCTCACAAATGACCGAATCGCACTGATGCGCACCATCCACAGATGCTTGCTATTCTGCTGTATAGGCGCATCGGAATCCGCTATATCACTGTTTACCGATCGACTCCACTTTGGCACAGTGATGAAATTGGTGGCATCCTTTCATTCGGCTTCTCATTCGCTAACACTATTTCTGGTATTTCCCGACCATAGTGTTTGTTTTACCTGTGCTGCAAATGCCCTGTTTTTGTCTGCTCCATTTCTTATGCCTCTATGTTTTGCTTTTGTTGTCCCGTAGACACGATGTGTAGCGGTTATATCTATTGCGCCTTGGATCTCTGAAAACCATTATTTTATTAGTCTGAGGCGAACACAGCCGTTTGGTCATATCACCTCTCTCCTAGCGGAAATCTCCTCATGTGTTGCGTTTATTTATAAATACGTACACAAATTAACGTTGCATTTCTCGAGTGGGAGTAATCTCCTATTCTTGTGTCAAGTCGTCATCCCTGTTTCACTAGACCCACTCTTTCTAATTTGTTGTTGATCCTTCTAGTGCCTACAGCTTACTCGGGTGACACCCTTTGTTATCGAAACGATGTCCCTCTCCTTTCCAACTGTGATTGCGAGCAATATTAATGGACGGTGTCCATGTAGGTACTCTCTTACATCAGCATAAAAACTTGCACTATGCATTGTTTCAGCGATTTAAAATCCGCAATATATCTTGCAAATCTGTTCTTGCTCCTTGCTCATCTTGTTTCTCTCACATTTGTGTCTTCCTGTAGCAGCTAGCCCGCGGTTCTCTGAAGGGTCACAAGGGCGAAGAGTAAAAAGCGCTCCGTACTCCTCCCCGGCACATTCCACGCTTACCCGCCGGATTTTCTAGAAATGGTGTTCTTCCAACTAGAACTTGCCACTACTTTGCACGTGATCAGAGCCTAACTTGGCTGTTGCCTCTATTTTATCCTTCGCTACTCTGTTCCATTCCAACCTCTTATCAACATTTGCTGTACATCGAATTCTATGCGCCCCTGTACCTCGTTATGTTTCTGTTTTATTGGTACTCTCTTTTTTGACTATTTCGCCTTTTTGGTTACGCGAATTTTCCGGTTATGTTCTTTTATTCACCTATCTTGGTTTATTTAAACCGTGATCGGACAGTGCAATCTACTTGCTTTGTTTATCACACAACTAATCCAGTCTTTCAGTTGATATTGCTGACCCTAGCCTCTCTTCTCTTATGCAACAACACGTATAGGCATGGGACCCTTGTAATCAGCCACTCACTGATAGGGAACCTTACGGCATAGTCGCGGTGTCGATAGCCCTGCTGCGTTGTTAATCGCCCACTCTAGAGATTAGTCCATCCGTTTAGGTTTTTTGATGAACTTATTCTCTCGTTATTTTATCTCTTTCCCTTAATCCTTTTTACGAGTCAGCAGACTGTCTTACCTGGTATACTTCCGCACTTTGGTTCACTCAGAGTACCTCATTCCGGTGTTGTCTCTCAATTATTGTCGCTTATTCGATGGCTGATCCAACAGCGATATCAGTCACAAAGTGAGGTGTTGCCAGCGGCTGACTCTGAATGTGTTGCCATTTCGAGCACTGATCAACGCGACTGGAGTTTGTCTGTCCAATTTGACATGACTCGTCATGGTCCAAGCACACGCTGGGCTCCAACCCAAGCCTGCTGTTCCACGGGAATTCGTGGTTAAGCAACTTAAAGCAGCTAGTTCCCCTCAATATTTTGAGAAGCACAGTAAGAACAAAACTGGTAGCGCCGTGCATTTCGTATTGACTCATCACTATGATAATCGATATGCTAGCTAGCCGAACAACCTTCACGTGGTGGCAGCTGGGTGGTTCGGGTTAATCTCGTTCCAGCGAATAATTCGGTGGCAGTGTTTTAGGACGTAGTGCGTTTTCGCCTGGCGAGCGTTCTTCCTACAACGAGCCACAAGGATCCGTTTAAAAACCCTGCGATGTGGCGGATATGACTCGCCATTAAATAAAGTCACTGCCTCTTCCCCATTCGGAGGATTCCCCTTAACGGGCGTCATCCAATTCGAAGACCTCAATTGATCCCTTCATGCGATGGCGAACACAGCAAACAAACTCACGAATTCAGTCACACTTCACAAGTTCATTCACCATACCTACTGACACATGAATGTACATATATACAGTCAACTCCAGTATGTAACTGGTTAACGTTCTATATTATTGTACAATTACCGAACATGCCTGTTTGTCTTATCATGATCATGCCTTTGCAGACATGCCGGCCGGTAATAAAACATTTATTGGGTGCAACCAAAGTGCTATGTGAATGCCGCAAGTTCATCGCTACATCCAGGGCAGCCTTCAGCTGACAAATATATGTTTCTGAACGCACAGGTTTGGCTTCATCCGGCTTATACCGACAGATATAGCAAACCGAATGCAGCGGGGATTATAGTAACGCGGCATAACTTCGAACGCTAATGTGATCTCTAGCCGAGACCAGTAGGTGTAAACCTATCGATGGAACCGATGAACTTCAGGAGCATGAAGGTTAAAATAAGAAGCGTTTCTGGGTAGCTTCATGTTTAACCTATCTCGGCACATCTTGCTTTATTCGGGAAGTTGCAGTTCCATCGATTATGCCCTTGCAGTTGGCTCCGGAGTCACGCATGAATTGGCGCACACGGTGGGAGTTAAGTCTGACGGGCCTCGCTGCCTTGTTTGAAGAGACCGGCAGACTGATTTCGGTTGCTTACAACTACTTACATGTTCTATTGATTGCCGTACTTTATATTTTCAGTGGGACTTGTTTGGGTATTTTTGTAAGGCACATCCTTTAACTTAGGCAGCTTCCAGTGTATCCATACTGATTACATCGATCCTGCATAGCCTTCGATTACAGATCTCATCTATTGCAAAGTTGATCACTCAACTACTGATAGTTTTCAGAGCTTGTTTGGTGGCTTTGGATGATAATGAATTTCGACCTATGCTATTACTGAGTCGTTCGATCAGTGATAAGTAGACGCAGTCTGCACATTGCTCGCCTATGTTGTTTTCAGATCGCTTCTATAAACGGTGACGCCGTTGCAGTACATGAAAACACCTAAAAAGCCATGGAACTCACGAAACATTATCAGCCAGCTATGTATGTTTCGTTACGGCACATCAACTGAAGTTTGTTTCGCAGCTGCAGCTAACGTGTAATAATAATTGTGTTATGTAGGCCCATAACTGCTTGGTGTAAACGTTGTCGCATATTATCCCCTTCACGGCGTTACCACTCCCCCCATACACACACAAGTTCGCATGTGATCCAGCCTGTTCATTATAAGTTTACTGTTCCCATCTTTAGTTGAATCATTTGAACCCCAGCTAGGGGGCGTGTGGATTGACACAATCCAACCCTTGATTCTCTCTAGTTTTTTTCCATCTGCAAACGTCTATTGTTTTTAAGCTCGACACGAAGTGACAACGTACAGCCATGGCTTTTCAGCTAACTTCAGCCACATCGTGCAATTTCCGTCGCGCAATTTCGAAATGGTCCGCTTATCTGCCGGACCTGCCATCGTGGATAAGCGAATGCATGCTACTTTTGACACGCCTTTTCTATCTGTTTCTCTTAATCCTCTGGCCCTCATTATTAACCGTCCTTCTATCATTCCCAGCCTAATTGACAACAGCCACGATACCATTGGAATCCTGCCATCTGCAGCTATCTTCCTGCACCACCGACTCGACGCCAATCACCAACAGCCTCTCCCCCCTATAAGGCTATGTTGTCCCGTTTCCTTGGCAGTGTTCAACGTTCGCACTCTGGTAACTACGCAAATGGCTGCACTCGCACGCACGTTGGACCCCGGGTTATTGACATGAATCCTGTGCCTGAAACTAGGATCAATGGCTCATGCAGGGTTGTTGAATTAACTGCGTCTGGTTTGTCCTCTAGCTATCGGTTTGCACGCATCCTGAGACGCTGCTGCTGCAGTCACTAGACAGGCTTCAATGAGCATCGTTCTCAGTTCCAAGGCTAAGTTAGTCGATTGCATCCCCGTGAACAGTCGTTTGTGTGCAACCCGTTTGACGACAGCAGCAAAGTTTAGTTCAGGGAGTAGCTCTCGGCACTGTAAATAGGTAAACATTGGTTATACTAGGTTGATCCTAGACCCTCCTCAAAAGTGTAAGCGGCAAAGTTACCACCCACTTCGCAAGATGGATGACGCGAGCTAACTCTGTCTTCCCTCCAACTATTTGTTTACCCACCCTATGCTTCATGGTTGCTTGTTCTCTCGACCTAAGGATTATGTAATCCACAAGATGAATAACATGAACTAATTCTTAACTCCTATCATCTGCTTGCTCACCTAATTTACGTGCCATGGTTACATACCAACCGTCATAACTATTATGTAATTCTCAACCCGCATGTCGAGATCTCAGTATGGATGACCAAAGCAGATCCTTGCCCCAATTGATGGGCACCGATTATCCTCCATGTGAACGCATATCAGTGTTGCCAGGACTTCACTTCACTTCTCACTGTGCAGACCATTCGCTCTCACTGTGCAACCCGTCTAGACTACCCCACGCACACATCTCGGTCTTGAATCATCCTTCCGCTTTAGCGGTACGCACCTACAGATTTATTGGGAGGAACCTGTAGGTGCGTACCCACTGTTTGCTTGAGCCAAGCCACCTCAAGAGCCCAGCCCATCGCGCTCCGCTTCCCACACTGTATAGTAAACCAATGAACCAAGAGTTAACAGACCTATTAAAAGAATGGTCATAGTCCGATCCTATGACTCTTCATGTACGGTGGCAAGTCCCATTTGCACTCTTTTAGGACGTTGTGAAGGCCGGTTGTTTCGGAACTTATCGGGCATCTTCGGGGTATGTACCCTTTGAATGAAGAACCTCGGCAATGCTACCTAACTGAGAAAGCGTTGGTCATTTATCGGTTCTGCGAACTCAACCTAAACACGGTACCACGGTCTCGTTAATTTCGGCCACGAATGGAGTTCCGTCTTTACTGGTGCCCCTGAAGATACAACGTACTTGTGGCAAGTTTTGCCCTTTCTACCAGTTGTCTGTCCGTGAATAGCCAGTACAAAAGGCTCTCGGCAAGCTTCTTCAACCGCTTGACCCCGGTATGTCCTGCGAGGAACTGCTTAAGTACGAGATTTTTTAGTGCCTTGCGGATGACCGCATTCGGACAACCATATGCAGTTTTGCATGATGGGGACTGCTTGCCTCCTTTGGTATTACTGATTCAAGTCTGTTGCTGAACTCGTGCGTAGCCACCTCGTCCTGTTAAATTGTGCGATCAACTCGCGTACTTGCTCTCGAGGCGTTTCTGCTCATACAACTTCTGCAGTCACTGGTAGGTCACATAATGCGTCGCACACAATAGATCCGACGTCCGGTTCAAGTTTAACTGTGGCTATGATCTTGTCTTCTTTACCTTGCTGATGGTTGTCTATGAGGCGTGACAGTGCGTCCGCATGGTCCATGGGAGCGGTTGTGTAGTAGCTGATCTTAAAGTCAAAGCTCAGCACATTGGGTGCCCAGCGTTGGACGGGGTTCTCCGTGTAGGCTGTGCTGACCTTCTTCTAGTAGAAGATAGCCCACGGTGGTTTGTGATCAGTCAGTGGTGCGTATGAGTTTCCCTTCCTAAGCAGCGTTCACACAATCAGCGATCGTATGCGCCCGTCCGTCTATCGACTACCCATTCACGAGTGGTTCGCTTCGGTTACTTTATGAACGCTCTGTACCTCCTGCTCAGAATACACCTTTGCACGCGGCCAGCTAGACGTGTTCTGTTGTCTTTGCGTCGTTCGGCTAAGAGTCATTGTTGCTTTGCGAGCTAGCGGTACTTCGCAGGTGTAGCCTAACAGTTGTGACGGCTTCTTTATCTGGAAGTAATCGTTACGAGTCAACTTATTCCACCGGATCCGTTTAGCAAAGAAGCGGCTTCCAAGCCCTCACTTGCAGTTTGTACCTGATGGAAGAGAACATACTATGACTACCTTGCAGTATTCAGATTTACAAATCCTCGCATCACCATAAATAAAAAACATTAAGGTATATTTCTAGACATGGGTAGAACTTGAGCCCTCGAGAGGGGTCAGATCATAATGTGCAGTAAGCATATACTCTTGTATGGGTAATAATGGAGTTAAGTTCATGTACTCCTATGGCGCGGGTGCTGCACCAACGCTGT